CAATACCCATAAAGTCTGAAGTCAGTAAATCCAGAAAACAGCTTTTTCAGACTAAATGTTCATTCATTCAACAAATTCAAAGTTCACTCACCTCTAAGTCTCCCAAAGTGGAAACCCTCAAATCCTATCAGTTATCAAATTCTACTATCCTCACCTCAGAGACAGCTATTTCTCTTTAAACCCAAATCCTGTATTATAAACTCCCATAATTTCCTCCATGGCCCCCTCCCCATGCCTAGATGATGTCTGCCTGGCCCACTCATGTAAGGGAATCCCAGCATAACCTTAACTCTCTGAAGACAGCTGACTGGGCCAGCACTGGGCAGATGACCCAACCTCGTCCAGCTGGATGCTCCCTCCCAAAAATTTGGATTTGAGACACAGAGTCTGAATCATATTGCATCAAGAACTATGTCTGCAGGATCATGTCATGTTACTGAGAGGCAGAAGTTAACAGGTTCTACTGAAAATACTTGTTTTCCCAAAAAAGAATAGAATAAACATGTAAACAGTAGCAGAAAGAGACCATTCAAACCCAAAAAGGGAAAAGCAGAGAGACTAACTGCCAGTATTTTTCCAAGTTCTGTGAAGCTCGATGTACAACTTAATTTCATGAGATTCTGTTTCTTGACAAAAACACTACCTCTACTATTACTACCACCACTGCCACTGCCATCCCTACTACCAACCAGTTTCTGTGCCATGTAACCAAATAGTCCCTGTTAATCCTGCAACAACAGGCTCTCATTGCCTCCCTTTGTCCAGTATAAATAAATATCTCCATCCAAAGCTTCTAACCATATTCTATCCGATGAGCAACAAATGATCCTCCTGCTATCTCCGTTTCTCTGGCTTTTACAACCACCTGCAATTGTAGGACCTCCAAATCTCCACAAAGTCCCTCTGAATTGTTTGGCATCCCCAATGCATTGCATTTTTTAGATTAGGGTACATTAGGAGGTATATGGTGGCATAACGAGAAGAACATAATGCATCTTCTTGGGAATTCAGTTTTAGTTTGAAATCACTGGGGGAAAAATAAGTCATTTCAAGCAATATTTTAAATTATGAAAAATGTGGCAGTATTATATGGTAGTATGCAAATTTCCATGATTTTTTCAACATCAAACACTAAATTCTACAGAAATTTTCCTCTCTAATGAACCTCTGATAAGTATGCACCGCTCTAGACCCCTACCCTAGAAGAAAGGGTAAAAAGAATGCCATAGGAAATGTCTTCAACTCACAGACAATGTCTTACAGCCATGCACCAGCTCTAAGTTTTTTCCATCTTCTCTGACTCGGCCTTCCCTCTCCTTCTGTCAGGCTCTCTGAGAATCACAATGTTCACACTGTATCCATCTGGGCTCAGCCTGAACACCCATCTCTGCAGACAGAGAACCCTCAAAGAGCCAGTGCTGCACAGTGTTCTCTTAACTTTCTGCTAGAGAGAAGCAGAACAGGACTGTTGTCATTCAATGTCTCACAGTTCTGTCATCTTTTAGTTAGAACCTCCTCACCCTTAACTCATGTTTGTGGACAAAATGAAGCTTCAAAAAGCTCCAGAGCTCCCTCTAAAGGAATGTCTACCCACAGGTCGCTGTTGAAGAAAATGATCTTATTTATGTCCTGTAACACAAGATTCCACATTGGTATCAAAGCTGATGGGACCAGGAGTAGACACCTAACCCAAAGATAGCCAATCCTGACCAGAAGCTTATGAAGTGTCCTGCTGTGTGACCTCTAGACCTCTCAGATTCTCTTTCTCAATGTGTGACACAGAAAGAATTGGTAGCTGGATCAATTAGTAGCATCTACACCCCACATCTATTAAAATGATCTTTCAAATTCATTTCAGGGTGAGGGCTTTGAGATTCTCTTGCCTTTTCCCTCATGGTTGGAGTCCAACAATAATATCCAAGTTCAGGCACAGAAAGAAAGAAAAACAACAAGGGCTTTCTGAGAAATCCCATCCAATTACTTCCTGTGTCTCATTGGTTTATCTGAAAGATACCAATAAAAAAGAAAAGATAGAGAAACAGAAATAAGTACCATGAGAGACCATCTTTAACCTCATGTCCTCATACCAGTATCGCTCTGCCCACCTTTCTTTGACAATTACGTGTGGACAAAACCAATATGCCTTAAAATACAGGAAGTAAAGATATCCTTTCTTTGGCTTCCTCTCTTGTACTTCCTATTTTCTGGCTCTTCATGACAAGCAAACCTAGATAGGAAGTGGGCTGACCTTCTTTTCATCTCACTTCCAGTCTTCACATGCTTAGATGGGCAATTAGATCTAGGACCCTTTTTGTAGAGATATTATCTGTTCCTTCTCTCTTTCTCCAAATATGGGGGTAAGTATTAATAATAATATATATATATAAATATATATACTCACATATATATCTCCTTTTATCCTTCTCCTTTTCCTCTTCCTCTTCCTTTCTACCTCTCTCTCCCTCCCTCCCTCTCCCTCTCTGTGCCTCTCTCTCTCTCTCCGCCCCGCCTCTCCCTCTCTTCACTCTTGAGCATTCTAATCCCAAGGTAGAGATTTCATATTGGATCAGTTAGTAATTATATTCAGCTTCCAGTAATAGTGGCCCAGTGATTCTGCCTTAAGGACATAAAGAGTTTACCCATTGTCATAAGATGAGATGCCTAGAGGAGAGTAATTACAGATGTGGCTCAGGATGAGGGCTTTGAGATTCTCTTGGCTTTTCCCTCATGGTTGAAGTCCAACTATAATATCCAATTAGGCACAGAAAGAAGGAAAGGTAACAAGGGCTTTCTAAGAAATCCCATTCATTTAGTTCTTCTTGTACCTCATTGGCCACGCTGAAAGATGGGAAATGCAGTTTATTTTTAGTTAGGAATATTGACATACCCAGTAAATACAGGCGTTCTGTTGGTAATGAGGAAGAGAGAATTGATATTGCATAGGCAATTGGCAGTATCTACCATGAACAGAATGGCATGAGTGTGTGGACTGTGCCTAGGTCTACTGCATGCTCCAGTGTAACTTGTACCAGAGCTCTGCCTTGGGAGCCTTTGAGTGCTGGTTTCACTTTTAATAGAGTAATACCCACATGACACCCCTTTTACACTGCTGTTCTTCTCATGTATTAAAAGTAATTGGCATAGCTGGATTTTGGAATTCCTGAGACTCTTGATTATATGACATCTAAAAGCATTCAATTACCAACAAGAGTCTGAATCTCATTTATGATGGAGCATTCAAGTCAATGGCAATTAACTCCTGCTGCTAAAAAAAATCATGGATCCTGAACAAAGTTCCAATACCCAAATGACATTCCAGTCTCTATGAGGTGTGGCTATTGCTGAGGTCCTGGGAAATCTCTTTCTTCCTTAAGTCCTAGTGGTTGTCAAATGTGAGTGTGCATCAGAATCAGCTAAATGGCTTGTTAAAAACAGATTGCTAGGTTCCTCCTTCAGAGTTTTTGATTCAATAGTTCTAAGTGGGGCTCAAGAATTTGCATTTCCAACAAACACCCTGGTGATGCTGATCTCCCTGTGTGGGGGACCTTAACCTTTGATAACTATTGGTATAGATTATAATAAACCCATGTTACTAGAGATCACCTGAGTGAATCTTTACTCCTTACAGTAAAAAAACCCGACTTAATAAACATTTCTTTGGATTCAGATGATAGTCCATAGGACTGGAATAGAAGACAAGAATTATTAGCAAACTCTATGTCCCCCAGAAGCTTGCCTACACTTTGGCAGGTATAGTTTTGTTACTGGGTCAAGTTTCACTACCTAATTCTTCTTTCAGGATGACTGTTCTCCTCAATGGCTATACACTTTTTCAGCTTTTGATCTTCACTGCAGAAAACATGTTTGAATGCTAGGAGTGAATTCACCTAAATTCAAGTAGGGCCTAAATACTACATTCATAAGAAAGTGTAGTTGGTCAGTCATTACTTGGATTTAAAGTGAATGGCCAATATAAGTGAATAAAAATCGAGTTATGTGTCATACATAATGAAGAGCAAAAAAAAGAATATTACATAATCCCAGCTCTTGAAGAACTCAGTATGTTCTGTATACAGTATTGAGGACAGGCACATATAAACAAATACATATTTTAATATATATGGTAAGTACTACAATAGTGCTATGAACAAAGTGTAACAGAAACAAAGAAGATGTAGGAAACCTAAAGAAAGGTAGTCAAAGAAGACCTCATCCCAGATCTGCCTGAAGAAATTCTGAAGAATTTCCTTTTATGCTTCTGGGCCCTAACTTACTAATAGCTATGTTAACCTGCTGGGTAGATACACACGTTCTTTCAATGAGCCTGCTGGGATCTTCCCCACTCCTTTCTCTGACTAGAATGGTGGTTTCCTGATTTATCAACCTACCCAGATTCAATTTTTCTAAGTCCCCTGGTAATGGGATAAGCTGTCACCCCCCTCCCTCCATCACCCTGAGGTGCTTCACAAGGGCTCAAATGCCCCCTTCCTGCCCCTAAAAAGAAAAAAAAAAAAAAAAAAAAAAAACTTCAAATGGGGCTGAGATTGGAAAGAATATTACCAGACACCATACCAAAACAAGGGTACCCCCTCCACCACTCACTCCAGATTGGTAGTTAGGCTTAGACAAACGAATAGTACCAAAGGTGAAATCAGAATATCTCTGGTTAGAATCTCAGTTCCTCACTTACTAGTTCAGTTATTCTGGCCAAGGTATTTAACCTTCCTTAAACCACTTTCTCATCAGTAAAATGGAAGTATCATCATATTTTTCACAGGGCAACTGTGACATTAAAGGATATTCAACCTACCGGAATGCATTAAGCAGAGTATGAAATTTAAATTGTGTAAAATACCATTGCTAGATTTTTAAAAATGGCTGGGGTGAGCATGTACCTTGAGCTGGCCAGGAATTCCAGGCCTCACAGTGGTCTGGCGCCACCTGCAGGGAGCTGCTAGCTACGGCTGGGAGGACTCCGGGTCCCAGGCTGCCTTGCACTTCCTGGAAAATGGCGGGGACTACACGACTCTTCAGGTTTGTCGGGCCCGTTTCTTTGTCCCATTATTTTGGGAGATTGGAGACACGAGGACACTGCCTTGGCCTTTGCGCATCCAGACAGCAGGTTGCTGGTCCTTTCCCCACGGTCCTGCACCAGCCTCTAGTCTGTCTGCCTACCCCTAGCGTAAGAACTGAAGCCAGTTCCCATTCAGCAGTGCACACGTGGAGGGCGGGAGACGGCCATCACTGATCCCTTCACATTGTAATTCACACGGAAGTGACAGAAGTCACTGAAGTCACCTTGGCCCGGAGCCCAGCCTGGGCTGGCCCCTCAAGTCTCACCCCCGGCTACAGGCCAGCCACGCGGGCCTCCTCTGCCCAGGGAAGCACAGAGCTCCTTCCTGCCTCTTCACCAACTTGGGTGCTAATGGCCCCGTCCTGAGCGCTCTCCTCCAGGGACACTGCCCTTTTTCACAATGATGACACCCAATTGCCTATTTCCTATCAGTCTTCTGTCCCACTAGGTTTAATAGTTTCTTTCAGTTAACTCTGCTATCTGAAGCCATGTGGTGGTATTCTTCCCTCTAAAGTAAAATGGCCTCTTTCCCTAAGGAATACACTTTTTCACATATAAACTGCCAATTCCTCACAGTCTCGGTTGGCTTGTCTTATTTTCTCAAGGCCTCATTGGGATTTCCCTGCACTCTGTCCACCTCTGCCCTTTTGCTTTGGGTCTAGATAGATTGGAGACAGGGGTGCACTGGGATTGAGGTGTCTCAGCTCAGTGATCTTCAAACATGAAGCTCATTTTGTTCTCAAAAATATACATAAATTCTTAGCCTTGAACCCAACTTACCTTCAGCAAATTTGACCTATTACCATTTTAAAAATTAAACTAATTCAGTGCTTTGTATAACTCAACCCAGTTATTAAAGTTTCTGTAACCATCTTGTTTATAATCTTAATTTCAGGGCCTATATCTCTGTAGTTCTTAAGACCTGGTTTCTTCTTCTTACACCCCACACAGGAATGGGGGGGATAGGAGTTGATGTAAGTGGGATGCTGCCAGATTGTCCACTGTAATACTCTCTGCAGCCCCCAATGCTGGTATAATCACCAGGTGCCCGTGGTGTGGGCTGCTGCCATAGCAAGCTCTTGGAGGGCAGAGGAGGTGCCCACTGTCTGTTTCTACTTTAGGCTAATACTGGTGGAATCACCTCATGAGATGGTTTCATAGGACATGGTGCTTAGGTCTTTCTTTGGCAATGCTCAATTGTACCCTAGCCTGGAACATCTCAGAAGACTTCTTCCTCTTCCAGGGGTAACCACATCTTCTTTTAGGCCCAACCTGCAGTGCACATCCTACCCCTTTTCCAGCTTGACAGAGCAGCCACCAAAACAGCCCAACACAACTGCTAACTCCTAGGATCATCTCACTGTCCCAGAACACTGAGTGTGCTTCCTTTCCTGACTCCTAGGGGACTGAGACACCGGTGTCTCTGACCTCTCCTTCTAATCACTCAACAGTGTGTTCTTCTTGCTCCTGAAGACTAGATCCAGGTGCTTCAGCAAGCCTCCTGCCTTCACACCCTCCACCTCTGTTCAAACATAACTTCAGATTTCAGAGGCTATTAGTAGAGTGACTTCCCATTTCTTCCAGAGGAAGCCAGAGTGGGGTGGCAACATTCTGCTCTCTTAACTCTTAAGATCATTTATTCCTCTTCAAAAAAAAAAAGTCTTCTCTTCCCTTCTCATGACTTCCTAATGTGTGTGTGTTTATGTGTGTAGTTTTCTGAGAGTAAAGACATTTCTCTTTGCCAACCTTTGTAGTGTGTTGAGAGGTCCCTTTTGTGTCTCTGCCTTTTAGAATTTTGTAATCTTTTTTATGTAAATGTCTTGTCTCTGGTATGATCTCTACTGCATTACTAATGAGGTGGTGAGGGTACTGACCTGTAGGAAAATATTTCAGTTATGATTTATAATCTATCATGATTACATATGTAGTTATATATATATAATATTTTTATAGATTATAATCCCAAAATACCATTTGTAACAAAGCTTATAATTTAAACAAACTACAGCTGATTTACCAAAATGCAAGTCTTCTGATAATCATGTTCCCATATTCATAATATGAATTGGAACTAATCTTGTTTATTGAATCTGCTATATGTTAGCTTCTGTTAGATTAGATTGTTGCTCATCTTGTCTTTAAACTTTAGGGTGAGTATCACTTCCTACTAAGATGACTCCTTGTATTGTACAATGCATAGTCCCTTACTCATTCTTAAGTTCTCAACCTCAACACACTTCCAGGAAGGCTTCTCTGGACAACTCCCCTTTCGTCCCCAACCCCAAGGTATGTTCCTGTTCTCTTTCAGTTCCTCTTATACCCCTGTGTTTACCAGTGTGTCTGTGGTGACCATTACAACATCTGGAATATATTTTTCTTAATAAATATCTTTAAATATATCCATCTATCCAGTCATTGGAAACATTTAGGCAAAGTATTTTAAGGGAGTAAGGCTAGGTATTATGAGTAATAGTGTTCTTCTATCAAGCTAAGCAATAACATTTTTTTTAATTTAAAGAATTTAATTCTAATATCCCAAAATAAATGGCAGCAAATGTATAAACACAAACTTATATAGGTTACATAATTTTTAACATTTGTTTATTTGCAAAATCCAAGGGACTGCAATTTTTTATTATATCTGAAGTAAAGTTTTTATTTCTACTGCTGCTCTTATTAGCATTGTGACTGATTTTGGTTTTTAGCTTCCTGAGTAAGCCAGTTTTCAAAAAATAGCCAATTGGTAAAGACTATGTACACAGGAGATTGTTTATATAATCCCAAATGCCATTTATACATAAGTCAAATAGAGGGGAAATATCAAAGAGGGTTTGGGCTACTTTTCTCTGAAAGAGCCTTGATTATTGAAAGATTATGGTGGGATTTGATGCTCCAAAAAATAACATAAATCAAGTATTTTATTGATTATTGATATAATTTTGATATAAGTAATTCTAACTCTGGGGTTATATATTTCTGCTCCTGCAGTGAAGCAAGTGGTTTCCATCTAGATTCTATCAGGAAGCAGTTTTCCTAAACTCCTTTGGTACAATACTGCCACCTGGTGTGGTGAAGAGAGGAGAAAATTAGCTTCAGTTAAAAGTACAGAACTCAGTGTCTCAGTGTTTGAATGACCCAAATGAGGTGATCACAGATACAATGAATTAAATAGAACTGCAATGATAATGTACCATGAAGGGCCACACAAACATCTATGTATAAATAGTTCAGAATAAAACAGGAGTGAACATTTTTAGTAATCATTCATTTGTGTCATTACTTACATGAAAATAAGGAGCATTAGTCCAAAAAAATCATTGAAAAAACAAAGAAAAAGTACAGACACAAATTGGGCAGCACAGATAACTCTTGGATTAGAGATATTTTAAGTGAAAATGTAGGAAAGGACAGGATGAAGAACATCAAGGACAAACACATTAGAACAACAGTAATAACTTATACACAATTCCAAGCACACCATGTGTGTCAATTTAGGTCATTGTTGTAACCCTCTGGGGTAGGTGTTCTCTTGCTCATCATCTGCATTTCATATGAGATGAATGGAGAAGGTGAAATCATGTGTCAAGGTCACACAAGTAGTATGTGACAGAGCCAGACCTTAACTTGAGGGAGCCTGGTAAATATTTGGAAATGTGTAAAAAGGGGAAAAAGCTAGACTTCAGAAATTATAGCCCTGTATGTTAGAATATAATCCCTGGAATAGTAAATATAATGTAACACTATATTATAGATATCATCCATTTTTAGTGGGGGGCTGGGTATAGGCAATAAATTATTGAATATATGCAGGAATATAAAACAGGTTAAATATTTTAACATGCTCCCAAGATGGGGTAAGGGATGCCATTCATTGGATGATCAGGGAAGGGTTCTCTGATAAGGTGACTCTCTGATAAAGAGAAGAGAGCTTTTGAGAAGAAAGTGAGACATTGGAGTATGTAGAGGAAAAGCAATTCAGGGAGTGGGAAGCTCAAGTTCAGTGGTCCAGCAGTAGGCAGGTGCTTGGCGAGTCCACAGAACAGGAGAAGGAGTCCATGTGGCTGACATGGAGGAAGGGAGGAAGATGACATCTGAAAAGAAACAGAGGCTCTGATTACATGGTACCTGCAGACCACTGCAGAGACTTAGCTTTTATAGTGAGAGAGATTAGAGGCCCTGGAAGGTTTGAACAGAGCAAGGATATGCTCTAAGTTATATTCTATCAGGATTACTACTGTTGCTTTATGGAAAATGGAGTAAGGGAGTAGGAAGCTTCCATAATAATCCAGGCCAGATATGCCCCTTTCCTCTCCCTTCATGGCAAGGTGCTGGTCTCATCCACGTTAATGCTCCTCTTGTCAAGCACAATGTCTGGCATAACAATGGTGGTTGAAGGAATCCTTTGGCAATGGCAACTAAAATTGCAGTCATATGCTGGTGCAAGGGGAAAAACCAGGCGCTTGTCCATATTAAAAGTATAGTCTATGATAAGAGTCATGCCTTACAGGTGAGAGAAGAAATGCAAATGGAAAGAAACACCATTTCAAACCTTAGATCACCATGAATATCTATTTTGCCTACTGCCAGTTTCTTTAAAACCCATAAGCAAATACTATTCTCTCCTCCACCCACACAGGTCCAGATGGGCATGCAAAACTGGACTTGGGAAATTGAGACCCTGTCTTGTTTGCATCCCTCATGCTATGCTACGGTTCTCTGGGGAGGCTTCTCTACAGGGACACCTGGATTTATTTAAAGCTCTACACTATCCAAGAGGTAAAACCACCAGTCTTCCACTCCACTTTTATGATAAGCTGTTGTGTCCAGGAGATATTCTAAAGCAGCAACATCCCTCTAAGTTTCCTGCCATAATTTTTTATGTACCCACTTTGGGATAGATTTAGGGCAAGAGCTGGATGCTTGTTTGAAGGAAAGATCCCGGCTTAGAATGTGCACTTATCCTTCTCCACGGAGTGGTCTCTGAATCTTAAGTAGATTAGCCAACTAGAGAAGAGACATAATGTTGACTCTGACTCCTGCCTTAACTGTGTCCTATGAAGGCAAGCATGTATTTCTGTTCATTTCAGTCTTGGAGTTTGTAGTGGGGCTGCTGGCCAACGTCTTCATTTTCTTGGTGATTTTTTGGGATGTGGTGAGGAGGCAGCCCCTGAGCAACTGTGATCGTGTGCTGCTGTGCCTCAGTCTCACTCGGCTTTTCCTGCATGGGCTGCTATTTCTGTGTGCCATCCAGCTTGCCTACTTCCAGAATTTGAAAGAGCCACTGAACCACAGCTACCAAACTCTCATCATGCTCTGGATGATCGCAAACCAAGCCAGCCTCTGGCTTGCCACCTGCCTCAGTCTCCTCTACTGCTCTAAGATTGTCCGTTTCTCTCAAACCTTTCTGCTGTGCTTGGCAAGCTGGGTCTCCAGGAAGACCTACCAGATGTTCCTGATTGTTATTCTCTCCGTCTGCTTCTGCACAGTCCTCTGCGTTTGGGACTTCTTTAGAAAATCTCACTTCACAGTCACAGCTATGCTATTCATGAATAACAATACAGAACTCAACTGGCAAAATACAAACATCAATTTCTTTTATACCTTTCTCTTCTGCTATCTGGGGTCTATACCCGCTTTTCTGATTTTTCTAGTTTCTTCTGGGGTTCTGATTGTCTCCCTGGGAAGGCACATGAGGACAATGAAGGCCCATCCCAGAAACTCTTATGACTCCAGCCTAGATGCACACATTAAAGCCCTCAAATCTCTTTTATCCTTTCTCTGCTTCTTTGTCGTGTCATTCTGTGCTTCCATCCTCTCAGTGCCCCTACTGATGCTGTGGCATAACAAGATAGGGGTAATGGTTTGCGTTGGGATATTGGCGGCATGTTCCTCTGGACATGCAGTCATCCTGATCTCAGGCAATGCCAAACTGAGGAGAGCTGTGGAGACCATTCTACTCTGGGCTCAGAGCATCCTCAAGGTAAGGGCCGACCGCAGGGCAGATCCCAGGATACTTTGCTGAGAACAGACATGAAATGGGCTCTCCATGAAGACGCCTCTGAATCCTCAGGAAAACAACTCTGATTCTTCATGAAGCCTCCCAATCTATTCCATAAAACACAACTGAAAATCTCTCTGCTTTCCATCAGTGTTCTCTTCCATTGAAGAACAAAATGATTAAAGCTCTCTATACATGACCTGGACAGGTATAATGGTGTTGGTTCCCTAGGTTTGTTTTGATAAAATGAACAAAATAGGGAGGTGAGGTATTCAGTAAATACTTTGTATGCTTTAGCTTATTATTGCTTGGTATGAGCCACATGATGAGAAACCACCTCTTCTGAAATAATGTCTAAATCCCAAGATAATATGTTTGGCTTTTAATGTGACTGCTAAACCTCTCTCTCAAAACTGGTGTTAAAATAAGATTTGGAAATATTTGCTACTATGGCAATTATATATTCCTCCTCAAACGCCACAGTTTTCATGGAAACATAAGATATGGAAAGACAAACTTGGAAAATCAATTGTGTCATAACTTCAGCTTCAAGAGGCATCACATTAAGACTCCTACCAGAGGACAAGGGTCATTCTGTCTGAAAATACACTGATTCAAAAATGCACTTTGACCTGCTCTATGATGAGTGAAGAGAAGTTAATACTTTCTCAGTACATTCCCTGGACACCAGCTTTTTGTGACCTTCTAGCTCTGCTCAGTTTGCCTTTGAAGACGGTGCTTTGCCTGGTACCAAGCACTGATCCATCTAGGTGGGGAACCCACCAAAGTAGCCCAGCTGAGAGATATGTTTGTAAAGATTCAGAATGCTCTGTCTCCCTGCATAGGAATTTATGAAAAATAAGAATAATAATATATATAACTAGATATATATAAGATAATATATATAACTAGATGTAGATATTATAGTTATTATTTACTATAATATAAGTCAAAATTATATAAGTGCTAGTATAGTGGTTCAAGATGTACTACATGATGGTAGAAAAAGATTTGATCGTATAAGGGTAAGAGGGTAACAGAAGGAAATAAGTAGAGTTTCAGGATCCTCTCTCAAATAGCCTCAGATACACCCTGATTCTAGACCACACTGAGGACTGTGTTCAGAAATGTGGCTATTCTCTTCCTCTGGGGAAAAGTACATACAGGAGGACATTGCTCCATTCTCTCACTCTGCCAGAAAATCACTGGTTGCAAGGTCCTAAGAGATACTACCACCTCCCTCTCACCCACTTCCCAACTCATTACTACATTTTACATGTTACACCACAAAAGCCTCAGTGACATCTGCTGGTCCAAAAGTGTGGCTGTGGGGAGGCTAAGTGAGATCATTGAAGTCTTATTTTACTTATTTTTAACATTTTGAAAAAATATTATTTTCTTTATGTATTTTGATTTTTTCCTCCTGTCACATATTTCATGGAAGAGAATCTGCCTATGATCTCCAACCCAGATCTGGAGGGGAAGCCTACTTTTATTACGTGTGCTAGCTAATTTAATACTAAATTCTTAATTTTCACAATGATTCTATTCTTCAAAAGACCATACTTTGGATTCATGAATGAAGGCCTGAGCTAAAGAAACCTCAGAGATTACTTACTCTAATAATTTACCCATCATCATCTGAAGTCTAGACTGTGCTCCTGAGAATAAACTCTTAGACCTCTAGTCTCATCCTGACCCCTAGTTTAATAAACCAATTAACACTAAATTCTTTAGGGAGCCCATCTTGTGAAAATGTCTCCATTGGTTAAGTCCTCTGCATTAACACAGACTCAGTATCTCAGGAACACTAGACTTCTTGACCTCTGTATAGGCTGCCTTGTGTCTGCACTTCATCCACACTGGGAATGCTCTGGAGTGAAGTGCCCTTCAAAACTTGTTTCTTAGTCCAGGTGAGCCTCTTTTCAATTTTCTTAATACAAAATTCCTCAATGAGTTTCTCCCTTGAGCTTTATATCCTCATGCATTTTGCAAGAAATACCTTAGGGAAGGCAGGATGACGCCAAGCAGCAGGGGGACTGCAGTAGAATAGACTCAGGAAATTCAAGTTAGGCTCTAAGGGTGATGCAGAGAAAATAAAACATGGTCTATTTAGCCTAGAATCTTCGATTTAATTAAGGGGCACACACAAACATAAGAAACACTTAAATAGTAATAAGATGCTGCATCTAATTAAGTGTCAAAATTTTGGCATAAACAAAATGTGTGACCATGGTTTAGATCACAACTCAAGTGACATGTCATAGGCAAAAGTTTAGAGGAGAGAATGAGTAGAGCATATTCCGTAAAGGTAGGTCAAGGTCAGATTATGGAGCCAACCTCAAGAGGTGACTTTTTTATGTTAGAGGTTATAATAGAACCTTATTTATTTTATTTAATTTTTAAAATTTTAGAATATTAGGGGGTACAAACGTTTGGTTAGGGTTGATTTGAAGGGGAGGAGGTAAAGAATTTGAGCCATTTGCACTCTAACTGCAATAAAAGGAGATTTGGTCCAGGATGGGGGTAGTAGGAATAGAGAAGGCGGAACAGATATGAGAGAGCTTTGGAAAAACATCATCAACTAATGTTTTGATATGGTGGTTTAGAGAGAAGGAAGAATTATGCTGGATTTCAATGTTGGGTTGTAATATGATGTAATCACTAATAAAAATGAAGAAGTTCAGGGAGGAAGTTGGTTTGAGTTTGGGAGAAATAGTAATATAATTTGGAACTTTTTACAACTGGCTAGACATCATGTCAGATGGTTGGAAAACACAAGCAGATTTTTGGAAATGAAGAACTAAACTTTAGATTAGAAGTTAGAATTAAACGTGGTTACTAAAAGAAAGGCTAACCTGAAAAAGTTCAAGTTTTGAGTTGGGTTATAAAAGTAGAGGAAAAATGTTGACAAGGTTGAAGGCCACAAAGTTCCAGGAGGAGCAAGTGAGCAGCAAGATGTAGTGAGGACAGCTGCAATAGCTGATTTTTAAAAAAATTTTTCCTCCCCAGCACTTCCTTTCTTCTGAGAACAACCACCTCCAACTAGAAGTAACTGCTCCTGCTCATGCTCCAAGAAGTTTTTCATGACCCTGTCTTTTATTGTAGTTGGTGGATCCATTCCAATACTGTCAAAGTCCACCCTTGGTATTTTTCTAACTTAATCCAATGAAATTTTGTAAAACATGAAATACAAAAGCTTTTCATGGCTATATTCTCTGCCATATTTCCTCTCACAAGCAAATACTAGTACAGACAAGAGGTAGATGTGGCAGCAACTGGTTTATTCAGTTCCTGATACTCCAGACATCCCCTATATCCTTGCCCTGCTTTGGTTTCATTATATAACTCTTTATCATATTCCTTCAGCCAACACATACCACTTTCACCTAAGTCTGTTTGAATTAAAGTTCTGACACTTACAGCCAAAATACCTATCACACAATAAGTGGTATGAGATCACATAAATGGAACAATGAAGTCCATGAACAGACACATAGAGATGGAATAAACACGTAAATTAGTTGTGGACTAGGAAAAAAAACACATTATTCTTAGAATAGCCTGGCTCCGACTCAGTGGGGAAATCTAAATAATGGAGATTAATTTTAGTAACCCAAAAAAAGATGAACAATCACAGAAGACCCAAAGAATGGGTTATTGTTAGAGTTTCATTCATAGTATGCTTTGTTCTAATGACTACATTTCATTTGCAAGGCATATTTAATTTAATGTTTATAATTAAATTCAAGTAAATGTTTATTTAATTAATGGGGCTAGTCACTTAAATACTGCCTGATGTGTTGTGCTTTTAGAGAAGGTTGGGAGATGAGGTAATGACATACATAGGAGTCAACCCTGAGCTTTTCTGTGCAATGGAGGACCTAAATATGCACAGATAGTTTTGTAATTTTATTGGAGAATGCCCCAAATCCCTATTATGCCAGATCATCTCTTCTCCTAATCATTCAGCAAATATGATGTATGTATCTGAGGAGTGTTCATGACAAGAGTGGAGGTGGGGGGACTGGAAAAGAAATAGTGAGGACAAAGTGTATCACCTTCACTGCTTCGCTAAGGGCTGGCGTCTTCCACGTTGTAGAGACAGTTCAGGTCCTCAGGCATCTCCCAGCTTGAACAGAGAGGTAGTGGAAGATTTCATAAGTAAAAGCATGGGTACACAAGCACATATGCCAAGGAAAATATAAGAAACCCTATTCACTCATCTATAAACTAGGATTTTAAGGATTTTTCAGAGTCAGTGTCAGATATTTCAACCTTAGATTGATTATTGAAATGATTACTAAGCTCCTGGGGAAGGTGATATTTGAGTGACTCTGAAGACTGTCCAAGCACTTTATGGAATTGAGCAATTCTTTATAAACAGAGTTTAGTTTAGTATAAACCTGGGAATTCCCACTGCACTATTTTATATCTTTTCTTTTTCCTTTGTATCTTTGAGCAATGACTTTGAATATCACATACAGATAGATGTTTTTTCCCCAGTACTTTTCTAGGATATGAACTTTCAGAGACAATCCAATTCAGAATAGTGTAGTCAGTGGTTAAGCCTGGAAGTTTTGAAGGCACAACGCCTAATAATTGCAAATCTCAGCTCCAACACTGACCAAATTAGAAGCACCAAAATATATATTAATAGATGAATGGATAAATAATTGTGATATAGATTCATGCAATGGTGTGCTTCACAGCAGTAATATTGCCCATGGATGACCTCACAAGCATTGTTGAATGAACAAAGTAAGTGTTAGGACAATTCATATAGTATGATAGCATTGTTGTAGTCCTTAAATATCTACCAAAACCACCACGTATTATATAGTATTACAAAAGTGTGTGAGAAAGTGGGAAGAAATGTGCAAGACTCATAAACACCAAATTCAAGATTGTGGTTACTGCTGGCAAAAGAGTAGTATAAAAGGAGAGTCAGTTATTTGTAATGCTTCAGTTCTTATGTTAGAATATAGGTATTTATTATTATTATATAATCTTTTATTCTTTTTATATACCTGAAATATTGCATATTATATTTTTAAAAGATTTCCCTATAGATTTGGCCCTGTTTTTGTTGACATTACACTCTAAGTACCTTAAATATTTCTCTGTAAGGGCATTTAGATGTAGATACACAATTGTATAATTATATTCTCTCATTCCTAGAAAAAGTATGATTTGGGAA